CTTCTTTCTGGCAGAGATAGCAACATTGCTTGCAAAAACTCCTAGCTGACAGATTGAAAAAACAACAACAGAATTTTACCACAAAACCCCTAGTGTATATCGGTGGACAGGACGGCTCCATGCTAACAGCATGAGTGATTAAAGATGTACAATGAATACAAAAAGCAGTGTTGGGGAGCTACTTTGAAACTGTAGCTTTTCAAGCTACAAGCTACTCATAGCGTGAAGTAGTTAAGCTAAAGTCCAGCTACCTTTTTTAAATTGAAGTTACTTAAATGGGCCAATTTTTTAGTATGTCATGATTGTGAATCAGCTTATGAATGTATAATTGCATAAAGAAATGAAACACAAATATAAGATAATTCAGAAGAGTTATGAAATTATAGTCCTGTTTTATTTATAGACCATCCAAAGATATAAATAATACCGTAGTCAAACTGCATATTGATGATAATAATATGACCACTACTACTACTACAACTACTAATAATAATACAATATCAATAACATTAATAATATTGTTTGTAATAACAATAATAATAATAATAATATAATGTAATAAAATCCAGAAAAATACTCATTTTAAATAATGTGTACATTAGGCTACTTATCAATTGAAAATGACAATTGCACTCACCTGTACGTACGTCCTTAAATTTGACCTTTAACCCTTGCATGTCGACAGTATTTTAACTTCAACAAATGAAGCCACAGGTAATTGGTTTTCTCATTTTCTAAATCAGTCGTCATGACCTCCTCCATCATGGATAATAAGGATGAGAGTGTCGAACTTGAACAATCAGTACTTCCGATCGGTTAATAATAACACATGAAACGATACATTGTTATTATTTTCCAACCACTGACTAATTAATTAGTCATGGAAATAATAATAAATATAAATAAGTTAAGATAGGAACATTTTCTCTTGCTGCTCCCTTAAACAGGACGTTGAGAAATTACGATCAGACTGCCACTCAGACATATTTTGGCTTCATCCGCCCATATATAAAGTCATTACCAGGCGTTATCCTATGCTTTTGTTATTGGATGAGCTGTTTTTAGTTTTTTTTGTTTGTTTTTTGTTTTTTTAAATGTTTCATTTTTATTGAACATTTCTGCTGAACTTCTGGTGAACATTTCTACAGAACATTTCTACATTTCTACTGAACAATTTTTGCTAAACCAGTTCTGCTAAACATTTCTGCTATACATTTCTGCATAACATTTCTACGTTTCTTTTTTATTAAACATTTCTGATGAACATTTCTGTTGAACTGCTAAGCCTATCTAAATCGCCTTTTCTGTTCTGTCCTCCCCACCATTTCCCAAAAATACAAAATTAGCAACAGTAAATATTCACAGAATTTTTTTTTATTTTTATACAAAGGAAAACAAAATTGAACCCATAACCCACCCCTCCGGCTCATCATGGCTACCCATTAACTGTCGCTGGTTATAGAGATATTATAAAATTCAACAACAGGCACCAACCTTTAAGTGGGTAGTGTCTATAACTCCATAAAGTAGCAATAAAGGGATGCCATTTATGAAAAAATATATGAGCTGTTTATCAATATATACATGCTCTTTTGTATTCTTCCGTGCAATAATTTAAAGACATGCAGTTGCGCAACACTAAACTGGAAGCTAGAAACGTTCCCTTAGCCTTAAAGTGTCAGTGCAAACATCAGACACTAAACTTTTCATAACTGATGAATTATATTCAGGCTAAGGGGGAACAGGTATCATTTCTTTCAGGTGTACAATTCCTGATACTTTCAGACAAGCTGATTCTAGCTTCTGGAGTAGATCTTTTATTGCGTACTACTAAAATATGTGAAATTGTTTACATGCTGATCCACTCCTTAGCCAGAGGGTGTGTGTGTGTGTGTGTGTGTGTGTGCGTGTGTGTGTGTGTGTGTGTGTGTGTGTGTGTGTGTGGATAAATCAGTTTCACCATGCAACACAGATGTGTCAGTGTGAAAGATGAGCAACAAACAGGGAATGGAATACAACAAACAAGGAACGGATGGGGCTGTGTATGTGAGTGTGTGTGTGTGTGTGTGTGTGTGTGTGTGTGTGTGTGTGTGTGTGTGTGTCTGTGTGTGAGATCTATGGCCTATTTCCTTTAAAGTCAAAACTACCTCGATTTTAGAGTCCTGCATTAGCGCGCACACACACACACACACACACACTAATAGACAGTTCAGAAACTGGGCAAAAGACTTACAATGGTTCAGGGTAGTCCTACATTCATCATGTGCTGATAGTAGAGTACAGTTTGAATGCCTACTACAGCTGCGTAGTGAGGTATAGTACAGTGTATACAGCTGTGTAGTGAGGTATCACAAGTTTGTATTCTTCGACAGGGATTTTGTTTTTGCTATGTCTTTCTTCCACTTTTTAAATGTTTTTTTTTTCCAGTTTAGCTTTGTTGGCCTTTTCAGACTTCAGATATGTTCAGTTATCCTGTCAATTTCATTTTCAGACCATTAACAATATCATGACATGGGAAAAATAAAATGCGCTAAACAATACAACTTTTCAGTATCAACGCAAATGAAATCAATATATCAAAAGACAACTTTACAGTTATGAAATCCTACATTTGTTAGCCAAGGTTTTTTTTTTTTTTGCCTTTGTTTATTTATTCATTTTCATATGATTCATTTACATGTGATTCATTTACATATGATTCATTTTCATGTGATTCATATTCATGCATGTAATTCATTTACATGTGATTCATTTTCATGTGATTCATTTTCATGTGATTCATTTACCTTTTCTCCCCTCCCTTCCCTTTCTCAAATATTTCATTGAGAAGAAAAACATTTTTTTTTATTAAAAATCCCACCGCCCTCCCCCGGCTCATCATGGCTACTCAATAGCTGTCGCTGGTTATATAAAACTTATAAAACCCAAGAACAGGCACCATTTAAATAAAGTAAACATATGAATATAAATAGCCAATTGGAGCGGAAGAGGGACACACACCCAAAGTCTCCATAAAACAAGGGAGACAGCAGTGTTTCATACCTAGGTTTAAGCTTAGCTAAGGTTAAACAGCATTACAGCTGTTTAACCTTACAGCAAACAGCAACGACTGCTGCCTACAATGTCAACTTTCCACACTCTGCAGGTGAGACAGTGACTACGTTTACATGGGCAGCAGTAATCTAATTATTGACCTTATTCTGAATAAGACAATATTGTGATTAAGGTGTTTACATGAGTCGCTTTTAGAATACTCCTTTCACGTTCCTGTTTTACGTGTTATAGAACATAGATCGATTAACATCACACGTCATCACGTCCCCACGCCACGCCGTCCGACGTCCCTCCAAAATTTCACGTATCGTCATACAGTTGGTCTTCGTTATGGTCCCGTATACAGTTTTGGGTGTTTCATTTTTAATTTCACGAAAGCTTCAAGTGCAGTTAATTATTAATTGTGCTACACGTGCAAATAGACGACTGCTTGAAGCCGTGCGATGTGACTGAAACCACATTCTAAAGTACTATATAGTAGGCAAAATACATGTATATAGCGTACTATATAGTAGCTAAGGACGCGGTTTCCGACGCAGCTGTGCTCTCTTGTTTGCCGTCAAACAGTTGAGCGCTGCCGTGTGTGTACGTGTCCTGTCTCAAAATGCGGTGAAAACGACGTTAATAGTGTGATTACGGTGTGTACATGTCTGTAATACACGTCTTAATTCCATTTGTGTTTACTTCAAGTATGACTTTAGTCGGATTAAGGTCATCAATAATCACTGTTTACATGCTAGTTTCTTAATCAGAGTATCGTCTTAATCGGGTTAACATCGGATTATTGTTGTCCATGTAAACATACTGAGTGTTTCACCATAAACACTGATGTACTGATAAACAGGGTTGCCAGTTCATTTGGCAGACGCCCTAATCCAGAGCGAATACAATTATCTAGTTTTTTTTTTATATATAACTGAGCAGTTGATGGTTAAGGGCCTTGCTCAAGGGCAATCACAACTTTGTATTCCACTACAGGGATTTTGTTATTGCTATGTGCTTGTTCCACTTTTTAAATGTTTTTTTTTTTGTTTTCCTTTCCAGACTTTATATGTTCAGTTTTGCTGCCAATTTTATTTTCAGAAAATTACCGATATCACGACATGGGGAAAAATAAAATGCGCTAAACAACACAAATTTCCAGTATCAACGCAATATATCAAAATACATCAGGTTTTAAAATTTCGGTATCTTGAGTCTCTTACTGGAACAACTGTAAGAACATACAAAACCTTCCCAAAATCTCTTCTGATTTTCCATACTTTCGAAACTGGCCTGGCAAATCACTGCCTTTTTATTTATTACCTTTCCAGACTTTCCAGAACTGTGCAAGAGTCGGGTTTGAGTTATTATATGAGAGTTTCACGAGCGTTTATAAATACATCGTAAATACAGTTATCTCTCAAATATTCTACAATGACAATATTATCAAGCAGAACAAGGACAGTTAGGCTAATTATTGCTTGGGTTAAGCAGCATTATGGTTTTATTACACCAGAAGCTTTACGACTGCTGTCTGCAATGTCAACTTTCCACATTCTGCAGGTGAGATAGTGTTTCACCATAAACACTGATGCACTGATAAACAGGGCTGTCAGTTCATTTATGACAAAGATGAGCAGATTTTAGGAAATGTCAGCTCAGTGGATACACACTTAGATTTGTTATACACTGAACTAGCAGTTTATTGTGTAAAAAAAAAAAAACTATGTTGGTGACTCTCATGCTACCTTCAAGTGCAACCAGAATTGTGGTACATATGAGTTTCTGAACATTTGGTACAAGTGTATGAAGCTTTGGAAATTATTTTTGATACCCAACTTTCCAAACTAGTTACCTTTACAGCATTTGGCAGACGGCCCTTATGCAGAGCGACTTACAATTATGTAATATTTTAGATAACTGAGCTGTTAAGGGTTAAGGGTCTTGCTCAAGGGCCCAGCAGCTTGGTGGTGCTGGGATTTGAACTAACAACCTTCCGATCAGACATCAAACGTCCTAACCACTGAGGACTAACCACGGACCACTTCCTAACAGTTTGCAAAGATTGAGTAATCGTTTCTTTCTCTAAATACACTTTACATCTAGTAGTCACAACTTAACGCATTACAACGAGCGTCCTTGTTTAACCACGGGTTTCGCTTTGTATGTTTATATAACTGGGGGGGTAGTCAGAAAGCGATCAAACATTAACAGCATGAAAAGGGAATTATCTAAAAAAAAATCATAATAATACATACAGGCCTCATCAGCGTGTGTGTTCGGCAAATCAGCATGTAATGTGTTAACCAGACAGACAGATAAGAACATGACAAATCGCACGTCACTAGTCTACTCGTTAGTCTAATCAGCTGCCAAAAACCAAACCCTTTTACATGAAATAACCTGGGCCTGGTGATCTGGCAATATACGGCAAGTTAAAGAAATACTTGGATGTATGATTTTTTTAATAATTTCCGATGAGTATGCTCTATAAAATGGGATCTTTTGTTCTGTGACCTTAAAAACACTCAGGACAGTCGCAGGTGTGTTTGCTTTTCCTGACTACTGATTATCAGTAATAATCACTCAGTATGTGGACGTCTGAGGTTAAACACACCGCACACACCACACATACACACACACACACACACACAGAAATTCCTGAAGCTTACTCCACAGTTTCTTCTAACTGCTCTAATTCACTAAAACAATACTATCACGTGATAATAGGAGCTCAGGATATTAAGAGAAAATCTGAGGCCAGTTACTTTTGTAGAATATTTTAAATATCAGTCAGTAATTGTCAGTTTATGGGAAATGGATACATAATAAATACTAAGCATGAAAGATCAAACACAAAGCTCTTCCAGATATAAGTGTGTGTGTGTGTGTGTGTGTGTGTGTGTGTGTGTGTGTGTGTGTGCAAGAAAGTGCAGGTTATTCCTATTATAGTGCATTAGGTTTAATTAGTGTATCTAATTAATTAATTAGTATATCTCCAGAGATAAATGTCAATAAGATTCAACGACTATGCAGTGGTTTGAATAACAACTTGACAGTCCGATGCATGTTCTATATCTGCATCTGTATGTCTAAATCTAATCCGATCTGCATTATGCATTGTGCAGTGAAACAAAAGCTTGACTAATCCCACTGGACTCACCATCAGTGTCTTCCCCAGAAACTTCCCCGACCTCCACTTCCGATTAACTGCCTAATTAAACCCGATCACACACTGCTCCAAACGCAGTGTCGGGTCGGATCTGATCTGATCTGCTCTGATCTCAGAGACTCTGTGTAACCAGACGGAGGGAAGTTTACAGGACGAGCGAGTAAAGCTGCCGCCTCTCCGGGTTGCCAGATTGGACCATCTGGATCCAGTTTAGCCTGCTGTAAAATTCACTCGAAGCCAAATAAGAAATGTCCCACGTGCTCATGCAATAGTAGAATTCATTCTGTATGAGATATATGTGTAAAACAACTATATGAACTGTATATGAAAATGAAAATGTATAAGATGAATAAAATAATAAGGGGTGGTAGAGGGGAACATTGTGCCAGCTTGTCCTTGGTTCTCTGGTTTCCTCCCACCTCTGGAAAACATGACAAGTGGATTAGCTATGTTGAATTACCCCTAGTGTGTGTGTGTGTGTGTGTGTGTGTGTGTGTGTGTGTGTGTGTGTGTGTGTGTGTGTGTGTGTGCGTGTGTGTGAGCGAGTTCCTCACACCCAGTGTTCCAGAGACAGGATCCACTAGAACTCTGAACAGGTTACACAAGATTGCAAGTACATTTTAATCATTTTATTGTCTTTTTTTATTATTATTATTATTAATTCATACATTCATTCATTCATTTTCCTACTGCTTTTCCTGGAGAGGATCACAGTGGCAAGCGGTTGGGAAGGTAGCGTTAGACTTCTCCGTCCCGAGCCATAGATTCAAGCTCCGATTGTGAAATTCCCAGAACTTCCTAAGCCACCTACGAGATATCTTCTCTCTCGTCTAGTGATCTCTGTCCAGGGGGAAATTACACTAACAGGCTAATAGACTTAAATTGGTAGATACTGGTCAATTTAATGGGCTTAAATGTGTAAATATAGACTTAAACGTTGATTTGTCAGAATGTATGTAGTTGTCTGAAATAAGTAGATTTCTTTTTTTTTTTTTTTTTTTAATTGGTGTATTCATGGAATGATTTTGGATGAGATGGAATTTTATAATCTGATAAGCACACTGGAAAACTAAACAACTAGAAAAGTTGGACACCAAAGACATCTTTGATTGATCGGGTTCATTTGAGGAATGAGGGTAATTGTGTAAATTGTGTACATAAATAAAAAAAAGTGTCCTTTTTTTCTTAATAGTACTTCTTGAACAAAAACAAGCTTAAATACTTTATAATCCTTGCAAATTTCTAGTATTCATCTTAAACATCTAACTATCTTAAACTATGAAAGTGAACGTTTACATGGACAACAATAATCCGATATTAACCCGATTAAGACGATACTCTGATTAAGAAACTAGCATGTAAACAGAGATTATTGATGGCCTTAATCCGACTAAAGTCATACTCGAAGTAAACACAAATCACACTATTAACATCGTGTGGGAGTTTTCACCGCATTTTGCGACAGGACACGTTTACACACGGCAGTGCTCAGCCGTTTGACGGCAAACAAGAGAACATGGCTGTAGTAGAATACAAAGTTGTGATTGTTTATAGTGAAACACTCAGTACGTTTACATAGACAACAATAACCCGATATTAACCTGATTAAGACGATACTCTGATTAAGAAACTATCATGTAAACAGCGATTATTGATGACCTTAATCCGACTAAAGTCATACTCGGAGTAAAAACAAATGGAATTAAGACGTGTGGAGTATTCCTGTTTTAATCGCATTATCGACGTGTATTACAGACATGTACACACCTTAATCACACTATTAACGTCGTGTGGGAGTTTTCACCGCATTTTGAGACAGGACACGTACACACACGGCAGCGCTCAACCGTTTGACGGCGAACAAGAGAACACGGCTGCGTCAGAAACCGCGTCCTTACCTACTATATACTAGCCAAAATTGACAAAATTGATATTTCAGCTACTATATAGCAGGTACGTACGCGGTTTCGGTCGAAGCCCACGGCTTCAACAGTCGTCTATTTGCACGTACAGCACGACAAATAATTAACTGCAGTTGAAGCTTTCGTGAAATTAAAAATGAAACACCCAAAACTGTATACGGGACCATAACGAAGACCAACTGTATGTTGATACGTGAAATTCTGGAGGGACGTCGGACGGCGTGGCGCGGTGACGTAATGACGTGGTTAATAAGAGGCTTGTAATACAACAATCTGGCAACCGATTTAGTAGGCGGGGCTTGTCCTCGTTATTAATACCAGACTCACATGACCTTTCCCCTCCATCCCTACTGTTTTTCTGACTGTTCCCGAACCAGCTGTGGCTTTTTGCTAAACACAAAGGATACCGCAGAACCGATCTGAGAACAGTGACACAGAGTTTACATACAGTTTCAGTGTACAGCAACTCTGCAAACTTCCCAGTTACAAGTAAAGAAATAATCAGGAACAAACAACATATCATCAAGATATCTAATGTAAAATAATAATAATAATAACAAAAGAAAAAAGAAACAATAAAAAAAATTTACATTTAAAATTACTACTACTACTACTACTACTACTACTACTACTACTACTAATAATAATAATAATAATAATAATAATAACAACAATGTTTTTATCCATGCATATTTTCACAAGTCAACCTAATAAATCATATTTTAATGATAAAATAAACAACTAAAACAATAAAATTCTTAATCATATTTATTATTTTGAATTCTACTTGTTTATCGATCCATTTTTATTGTAAAATGATCTGTTAATCTGAATAATCTGAATCACAGTTTCACTTACTTTGGAACTTTATTTCCTTCTTTCTCTCTTATTTTTTCCCCATTTTTAAAAGTGTGTGTGTGTGTGTGTGTGTGTGTGTGTGTGTGTGAAATCCAAACACCGAAACACACTTAAGCACACCCAAGCACACTTCTGTGTAATAAAGCCACCCTGCCTTAATGGAAGCCACTTTAATAGACATGATTCACACATCTCAAAATCTCAAATCCAATGTTGTTTTTTGTTTCATTTTGTTTTTTGTTTTTTTTGCCCGAGCATGTACATCACTGAACACACACACACACACACACACACACACACACACACATACACAGTTGAGCACAGGCGACACTGCCAAACATCATTGCCAAATATAGCTCAGAGTAGTTGTAAACATGGATTAAAATAATCTGAGCTCATTGTCTAACAGACACAGTTGCAGATATAAACCAATCCTTGTGATGTGACGGAAAGTGTGACTCATGTCACATGTATGTCTTACTGGTATTTTAAATGATCTCCATCCATTTATGTTACAGTTTGATTGAAATGTAATGGATTATAATGATGTCATCAGTATCTGGTAAAACTACACAGTAAAATCATTACAGATTTTTTTTTTTTACCTGTACGTTGTACATTTTAACAGCAGTTTGCATGTGTTACATTAACACTAATGACATTACATAATGAGTGTACGCTGGCTTATTGGTCAGCATGTTTACCTCACAGCGTTGAGTTCGGACGTTTGAATCCCACTTCTGCCCTGTGTGTGGAGTTTGCATGTACTCCCTGTGCTTCCAGGGATTTCTCCGGGTACTCCGGTTTCCTCCCCCAGTGCGAAGACATGTAGGCTGACTGCCATTTCCAAATTGTCCATAGTGTGTGAGTATGGGTGCGATTGTGCCTACGACGGGTTGGCACACGGTCCAGGGTGTCCCTCACCTTATGCCTCAAATTCCCTGGGATAGGCTCCAGGCTCCCCCATGATCCTGTGTAGGATAAGCGGTATGGAAAATGGACGGATATTATATGATGAGAAGTGAATCTCTGGCCTTGTTCCAATTTCCTCATCGTAAGGGAGTTTGGAAAGGTCTGGGTGAATACGA